TGAAACAATGCAGGAAAGTCAAAATATGTTCTGTTGTATTGTCCTTTTGCGAACTTGTGGATGATTTCTTTTTGTAAAGAAAACCTCCAGAAAACAACTAAAGTGTTGTTTTTTCTTTTCATTTTACTTTATGTGTATATATGTAAATAAATATGCATATGTGTTTATGTATACACATTACTATATATCACATGTGAATATTGTGGGGTTGTTTTGTTTGTTATCTTTTATTTATCTTTCATTATTCTTCTCAGCTTCTCCTGTATTAAGCTGCTGTAATGTGCAAATTTCCCCACTCTGGGATCAATAAAGTTTTATCTTATCTTAATCTGATCTTAAAGTCATTTCGCACACACTCACCAAACCTTCACCTCTCAAAGAAATCCAATAATTTCAGAATGCTTTTACCACAGAAACCCATCAGAAAACAAACACTGATTTCACTTTTCAAATCTGGGACAAAAAGAAAAACCAACCCTTTGGTTTTTAACATATTTACTTTCTTCACAACTCTAAAGGATAAAACACAAACTGTACCGCCCTGTAAACAACTGTAACTGTAAACAAGTAAAAAAAAACTGACAATGAATCTCAAAAACTCATTTTTAATTCCATTTAAGCAAGCTAAGTAAATTTACATTAATTATTAGGTGGAACTACTTTGTGGGGCGAATAAATYTTGCTTTAGGTGCGGCAGCGCCTCGACCTTTACATGCTAACTTTGTTAACGTTAGCAGTAAGGACAGTGGGATGGTTTGATYTGTGTTATTTCAGCCACTGACCTGGCACACATTCTCCTTCATGGAGGCTGGACCCCCTCGGTCCCCGATGATCTTCCTCACAGGTAGAGCAGAGTCATCACACAGCAACAAGTCGTCCTTCACAGAGAACCTGTGGTCCAGCCCAGACTGGTCCATCTTTGGACATAAGGGGGAAAAATGTTATAAAACTTGAAACAAATAAAAAGTAGTTGTGTTTTTTTAAAAAAACATTTCTTGCCTCTGACTCTTCAGCTTCTTTCATGTCCTCCTGAGGGTGGTCTTCATCGGGCTGAGGAGAATCTGCTGGTTCAGGAGGGGCCGTGGCTGACGTGGTGGGTGGAGGGGAAGTTTGACAGGAGGGTACAGGTGTGCAGGTGCTGATGTCCGGGGCTGAGCTCAGGGCTTTGCTCTTGGATTTAAACGACGACGGTGCAGGATCTGTTCATGAGACGTCAGATCAAACAGGTGCACAGAGAGACGGCAGCAAACAGGTTAAAAGTCCAAACTTTTTTATTTAAACTCTTGTAAAATCACATTTGTTTGCTTGCTTGTAAATTTAGGATTTGTCTGATTTCAGAATTTACACTTTTCAAAATCAACCTTTAAGTAAAATACTTAAGTATTTAAAAATACTTAGGTATTTAAATATTTTTAAATACTTAAG